TTCACACATTTGTCCTCCTCATTGCCCACACCATCATACATGGGACAAAATCTGACCAAGTCTTCAAACTTAGTCACATACTCAGCCACAGAATCATCTCCTTGCTTCAATTCAAGGAATTCCACCTGTTTCTTATGTCTCACATCTTGGGGAAAGTATTTCTCCAAGAATAGCCGCTTGAAATTCTCCCAGTTCACTTGGGTACCTGTAGCTATCATTCTTTTTAAAGTACCTTGCCACCAGATGCCAGCCTCACCAGAAAGCATGAAGGTAGCCAAAGTCACCTTCTGTATCAAAGGACATCCCATAGCTTGGAATATCTTTTCAACTTCAAAAATCCAGTCAGCAGCTTCATCAGGATTATAAATCCCACGGAAGCTTGGTGGATTATTTCGCTGGAATCTCTCCAGCCAATCTACCTCTGGTTGTTGGTTCATATTACCCAGAGCCTGAGCCATCGCTTGAAGAGCATCAGCGATTGCACGATCGTTCCTACCTCCTGCCATTACTTTTCTGATCACCAGAAAAGTTACCAATTATACTATAAGTAAACAACCAACTTAATCAATCATAGCACTAACATATCAACAAATTCCACAATCAATTCATTCCATCAATTATCTACCAAACAAGCATAGTAGACTCATAACTCACGGCCGATTGGATCGACCTGCTCTGATACCACTAAATGTGACACCCTTACTACCCCAACATATATATTGTAATAATAAAAACTTATAAATAAATTTTTCAATTTCGGTAAAAGGGTTCACATGAGAATCTTCAAAATTATTCTTCAATAACCACAATAATAAAAATGAAGCGCAGGAGTTTACAAATTATTTTAAAAATAATAATTACAATTCCAAAACCATATAAAAATCTATGTCCTAAAAATCCTCTGCCCCGATGTCACAATATCAGAGCATACCCACACTTCCACTGTTGGCATTCTAGATGCCACTCGAAGCCGGATCTTTCTCACCTAAAACATCCACAAATCGTACGGTGAGAAAAGAAAACATCTATATATATAGCACATAAGAAAACACAACATATTAACTTAATATTCATAAATATTTCAACATAACGTAATTCAATCAACCATGCATCGTCATCACGTCATCATTCTCAATCACACTAATTTGCACTTCACACTATGCCAAGGTCACGTTACCCATTTAACAATCTCAGGCCGTGCTCACCCCTGATATAACACTGTGCCAAGGTCACGTTATCTCTATCCCAGGGCCGTGCTCACCCTTGACATGTTAACCAAGGTCACGATACCCACGTAACAACCCAGAGTCGTGCTCACCCTTGATATAACACTGTGTCAAGGTCACTTTACCCCTAACCTAGGGTCGTGCTCACCCCTGACATGTTAACCAAGGTCACGATACTCATGTAACAATCTCTGGCCGTGCTCACCCCTGGTCATAGGTGTGAAGAACCACAACCACTTCTCAATCACATTCCACACAACATCTCATAGTTCAGTTTCATACACATATCAAATAAGTCCAAAAAAATGGGTTTCATACATATCAAGCAATTCACATTTAAATCATCAAATTTTATCAAATAATATAAAAATGATATTCATAAATTAATATAATAAT